TTAGCTGTTGTGGCCTCGGTGATTATAATATTATTTATTGCAATATTTGTATTTCAGTGTTATCATAGAAATTGTTTTATAACATTAAAAGAAATACTCACTGAAAGTGATTATTCAGTGCAACAAATTAATGTTTTATCTTATAACCTTTGCCTTAGAGCACCTTTAATTTCAAATGAAGGAGACGATTTTAAGAATGTTAGATTAGACTTATTTATTAAAAACGTATTAGAACACTTTGATATTATTTTTTTACAAGACGTTATTGGGGCGTATTCCGCTCGAAGAGCACATTTAATAGAAGTTTGTTTATATAGGAATTGTTATTAAATAACACTCATTAGAAATTAGTGTGCATACGAAAAAGGATTAACACATTCATTAGTAAGTTTAACTCCAATATTGCCTTGTTTTATTTGTGATGGAGGATTACTTATATTAAGTAGAATTCCTTTAAAAGATAGAGATCAATATATCTTTAAATCAAGGATATTCCCTGAATCAATTTTATCTCGAGGTGTTTTATATTCAAAAATTCAACCAAATGAATCAACAATATTACATATATTTAATACTCAATTACAATCAATTTCTAATAACCCTCTTGTTAATCAAATACGTTTGAATCAATTAGATGAATTAGTTAAATTTATATTATCAAAAACTAGTAAAGATGAATACCCTATTCTAATTTGTGGAGATTTTAGCATCAACGCATTAGCCAAAGCAGAGACAATTATTGATGAAACATTTTGGGAAAGTGGTGAAACTGAAGAAAGTGAAATGAAAGATTCTATTAAATATATTGAGGAACAAACTGATGAATATGTACAATTAATAGACAAATTATCTGATATTGGTATTGTTAAAGATATTATTTATAATGGACTTCATCGTCATCCAATTACTACAGGAGATACATATTTTGATAATAATAAAGAACTTCCATTAGAAACAGTATTAACAAAAAAAGAAGACCAATTATCAAAACGGTGTGAAGATTATATATTTCTTATTATAAGATCAAAAGAAATAGAAATAACAAATCCATATATTCATACATATGATGTAAATAATGATGATTTTAATTTTTTATCATCGCACTATGGATTGAGTTGTGTTATTAATTGTTAAGTCATATTTAAATTGAATATATTAATTAAACTTAAAAAAAATAATTCAATTTGTTTTAAAGAGTAATTGGCTGTTTTTGTATTAATCTAACAATATTACCAGATATTGTAAAAATCCAAATAGAATGATTGGTTACAAATAATGAACATATTTTTTCATTTATTAACACTTCTTCATTTGAACTCCATTGAGACAAATTATATGAATTATGAAAAGTAATTAAATCATCGGAAATACAACAAATATTTGAGCTGTTAAATAAAGGAAGAATAAAATCACATGTCTCTTCAATTTCAGATAGTAATTTTCCTTTTATTGAATAACAAAGTAAATTAGTTGTTGTTACAATAAATAATTTATTATCACAAAATGATAAATCATTAATTGGAGTATCAATATTAAATTTTAAAACCAT